ATTTACGTGCCAGATATGCTAAACATTCATATGCCCTTTGATGCTTCGGCCACCATTCCAGGGGACATACTTCCATGCTGATGACGCTCTTTTAAAAAAAAAAAAAAAAAGGCATTAATTAAATTTGTGCCTGAACTCCTTGGGGGAGAATTGTATATCCCCCTGCTCTGTTTTACCCGCATTCTGCCATATATTTCATGTTATAGCAGTCTGGGATGATGATGACCCAGCACATGTTGTTCATTTTAAGAACCCTTTCACTTCAGATTTGACAAAAACACAAAGAAGGTACCAATGTGAGATTTCTAAAGATAGCTACAGCATTCGACCCAAGGTTTAAGACTCTTAAGTGCCTTCCAAAATCTGAGAGGGACGAGGTGTGGAGTATGCTTTCCGAAGTCTTAAAAAAGCAACGCACTGACGCGGAAACCACAGATCCCGAACCACCAAAAAAGAAAATCAACCTCTGCTGGTGGCATCTGACTCAGATGATGAAAATGAACATGCATTGGTCCACACTGCTTTGTACTGTTATCAAGCAGAACCCGTCATCAGCATGGACGCATGTCCCCTGGAATGGCGATTGAAGCATGAAGGGACATATGAATCTTTAGCGCATCTGGCACGTAAATATCTTGCGACACTGGCTGCAGCAGTGCCATGAGAATGCCTGTTCTCACTTTCAGGTGACATTGTAAACAAGAAGTGGGCAGCGTTATCTCCTGCAAATGTAAACAAACTTGTTTGTCTGAGCAAATGGCTGAACAAGAAGTAGGACTGAGTGGACTTGCAGACTCTAAAATTTTACAGTTTCATTTTTGAATGCAGCTTTTTTGTACATAATTCTACATTTGTAAGTTCAACTTTCATGATAGACATTTCACTGCAGTACTTGTATTAAATGAATTGAAAAATACTATTTTGTTTTTACCATGAAAATACTAGTAATCAAAAATAAATATAAAGTGAGCACTGTACATGTCGTATTCTATGTTGTAATTGAAATCAATATGTTTTAAAATGTAGAAAACATGCACAAATATTTAAATAAATGGTATTCTATTATTGTTTAACAGTGCAATTAATTATGCTATTAATCATAATTTTTTTTAATTGCTTGACAGCCCTAGTATAAAGCCCACAGTGGTTTTCTGTGGAGAAATGGGACTAAGGAGTAATGGTCTCAAGTTGCAGTTGGGGAGGTTTAGGTTGGATATTAGGAAAAACTTTTTCACTAGGAGGGTGGTGAAGCACTGGAATGGGTTACCTAGGGAGGTGGTGGAATCTCCTTCCTTAGAGGTTTTTAAGGTCAGGCTTGACAAAGCCCTGGCTGGGATGATTTAGTTGGGAATTGGCCCTGCTTTGAGCAGGGGGTTGGACTAGATGACCTCATGAGGTCCCTTCAAACCCTGATATTCTATGATTCTAATGTCTCGGAGGGTATGGACTAGCAATGTGTGAGGCTCCCAGTCTGGTGAGGGTGGGATTTCCTGGTGCTCAGTGGGATTGGGGAGGCCTCAGGAGGCAGAAAGGCTCTTGTGTGAGGGGAGGGAGGGAGCAGGAGTAGGGAAGGACACGTAGCTTCTGCTGCAAGACAGTGAACAAGGGGTGTGTGGGGCAGTGGGTTGAAAAATTACAATTTAGAAAGACTTTTTTAAGAATACGTGACAAATAGACCACATTAAATGTGTTAACAGGTTGGTTATTGTGTTAGGGGAAGGGAGAATGATTTAGACTCCATTTAATACACCTGCCTTCTCTCAAATAGGATATCTGGGTTTTCTTTGCAGGTGTTCCGGAAGGACCTCATTAGTGCCATGAAACTCCCAGACTCTCACCATGTTAACCCTGATGAATATTACCTCTTTGCCGACACATGGAAACAAGAATGGGAAAAGGGTGTTCAGGTCCCTGCCAGTCCCGACACGATTCCACAGCCTTCTCTTAGGTAATTAATCTTAAACATTGAATGTGTTTGGTACTGGACAAAACATAAAATGAGTCTCAAGGATTTACAATCTAATTGCAGCTAACGCTTGCTTGCTTGCTTGTTTAGTATACTTAAACCTGTGGTACAACTGCCTTCCAAGTCCAAAAATCTTTTAAAATTAAAATACACCTCTACCCTGATATGATGTGACCCAATATAACACTAATTCGGATATAACATGGTAAAGCAGCGCTCCAGGGGGGCGGGGCTGCGTGCTCTGGCAGATCAAAGCAAGTTCGATATAACGTGGTTTCACCTATAATCCGGTAAGACTTTTTTAAGTATCAGAGGGGTAGCCGTGTTAGTCTGAATCTGTAAAAAGCAACAGAGGGTCCTGTGGCACCTTTAAGACTAACAGAAGTATTAGGAGCATAAGCTTTCGTGGGTAAGAACCTCACTTAAGATTTTTTTTGGCTCCTGAGGACAGAGTTATATCGGGGTAGAGGTGTATTACCTATTTGGAGATGTCAGTGGTACTTGGGGCTGGAGACAATAGGCAGATCTGAACTGAAGGCAGAAAGCAAACATGCACTACTCATAACTAGGATCACACTGAAAAACAAAAAGAAAAATGCTTTCTTTGAGCATTTGGCGCACTGCATAAAACGGTCATCTAACTTATTGTGACCAATCAAATACAATTCCAAATAGAAAACAGTATTCTGTTGCATTGGTTATATTACATAAATCTACCCATAAAAACAGGACAACATAAATTGTAATAATGCAGCAAACACTTAATCCACCTCAGACAGGATCTAGTTGCCAGCAGTGACTGATATCTGTCAAAGCTTCAGAGGAAGGCAAGAACCTCCCAGAATCATTTTTGGGGGGCATGAGCATCCTTCCTAGCCATCTCCAGTAACCTGTTTCTGCCCTGACATAAGCGGCTGGGAACTTTCACTGTAAAATAAATATATTACAGTCGAAGTGTGTGTGTGTGTGTGTATATATATATATAAGTGTCAGTCATCACATTTACAAAAAGGGAAAGTGGTTAGAGGTCTTCTTGGAGGGGCCCACAAATGATTAGCAACTCTGAAAACTGTAATTATTTAAGTCCCCATTTAGGAGAATGAATAGCATATATATGCTATTCATTCTCCTAAACTCTCTACCACTTCAGTGTACGTTTTCCTTCTATTTTCCAGTCTAATGCTCTTGATCCTGCAATTAGTTTTGCATTGGTGGACCTCTGTGCACTAGCAGAGCCTCTTTGACTTGGGGACTTAAATAATTACAGTTTTCAGAGTTGCTAATCATTTGTGGGCCCCTCCAAGAAGACCTCTAACCACTTTCCCTTTTTGAAATGTGATGACTGACACTTTGGGGATCACCCAGACCAGTAAGGGGTTCTGTCACCATCTGCCCTGTACCTTGGGTCTTTTATGCAGTATCTCTGGTTCAGATCTCTGACATCAGTAGCCAGCCAACAAGCAGAAAGTCTCACCCTGCTCTCTCAGCCTAGTTATCCTTGCAAGGTGATACCAACAGCCCTTGCAGTCTCAAGTCTCCCCAAATCCATTCTCCTTGAGTTTTTAAGTACCAGACAATCAGGCTGGTCCCCTCTGGTTTGTCACTCCTGAAGGCATGAAACTAGACTCCCCCCTCCCCCCCAATACCAGCTTTATTTGGCATACACACTCCATATAGGTTGCACAACAGACACCTACTTGAGGTATAAATAAACCAACAGTTTGTTTAATAGAAAAAACACAGATTCAAGGATAAAATAGTAAAAGAAAGTGAACATAAAGATGCAACCTCAGGCTTTACTCTTCCCTTTTAGATAAAACAATACAAGTTACTTATCCCCTTTTAACAGTTTTCTAGCGTACCCCCAGCTATAGGGGGAGATCCAGCATTCATGGATAGCCTCCCGCTTAGACTATCCCTCAGTTTCTGGATAAAAACTCAATCCCAAACCTGCTTTTAAAAAGGTTTTTTTTTTTTCTTCTCTCTCTCTTTGAGAACAGTGACTTCATGGTTCAGGTTAAGATTTTGTCTGGTTATTTTTAGGAAAAGTCATGAGCAATAAACAAGAATTAATGGAAGCTGCAGCCCCCCGACCCAGGGAGGTGGACAACCGGAGTCCTGAAGTCACAGAGGTCACAAATAATCATGGAATCTGTGACCTCTGTGACAACTCGTAGCCTTATGCATGGTTATTCAGGGTGGGGGAATCCCCTCTTGACTTGGTATCCTGGGTGTGGGATGTCTCAGTGTCGTCTCATGAAGTCTAATGGTACATCAGTTGTCTTTTCTTGGGCTGGACAGTGGACTGGCTACATGAAACAGGATTCAAGTAAACGCTGGATTGAGAGGGGCCCTCCTTGCTTGACTGCTCACTGCCCTGCTGTGACGTGTAGCTGAAGTTGTAGTACAGATTGAACACAGTTTTGGTATACATAAATACATAGATTCATAACCATAGTTTGTATACATCTCTCCTAATGACCGTCACATTCAGAACATTACAAGCTTGCATAAGATCTTACTCAATATATTTTTGTAGTACAATAATACAGTATGCAATCAGTTGGTTCAACTGCTCATTCCAAGTGGAATGTAATATTTGAGATGTAGATATGCAAATAAAAGTGAATTTTGACATAGTTCAAAATTTTCAATGTTTTAAGCACCAATAGGTGAGATTTTCAAAAAAGGTTAAGTAATTTCAGAGCACAAGTTCCACTGAAGTCAGTAGGACTTGTGTTCTCAAGTCACTTAAGCACTTTCGAAAATCCTACTTTTAGGTGCCTAAATTTAGGTTTTTGACCATAATTTCATTTTAATGCAACACAATTGAGCGGCCTAATTCTGTTGTGTTTTAACTCTTTTTAGCTGAATATAATCTCTTTACTGAAGTACTATGAAAATCAGTTAATTCAGAATCCATCAGTAAGAAACATTTCTTGTTCTGTATTATGCATGGTCTTACTACTTAGTTAAATTTAATCCATCTGTCTGCCCAGTTCCTCAGGCTGAGTAGAGTTGTGACACTTCTGTGTAGTTTAGTTTCTTGTCATCAATCTTCTTTCTTACCACCTACAGTGCGATCTAAAGACTTTCTGATAACCAATCCTCTAGTTCACTGAGTGAGGGCTCAGTAGGAACCAACACTCCACTTGTCAGCTAGTGACCTTAACAGAGTTCCTGAGCAGACATTTTCATTGCAAAAAGACCACCCTGGTGCTCTTGTCAGTCATTGGGCCATTGGAAGTCAATGGAAACGGAGGGCATTTTGCACCTGATACCAGACACTTAACATTTTCCAGGAATGGGCCCTAACCAAAGAATTAAAGCTAACCATGCCATTTCTCTTAATTTTACATTTAGGGTTGTAGCAGAAAAGGTGAAGGAAGTACTGTATACACGACCTAGGAAGTACATCCATTGTTCCAGCCAAGAGCCCACAGAACCTGGTTACATCAATATTCTAGAACTGGCAGAATCTGTGTGTCGCTATGACTTGGATGACATGGATATCTTTTGGCTTCAAGAGTTAAATGAAGAGCTTACGGAAATGGGTAATTTTACAATGCAATTTAATTATTAAAAATTGAGTTGGGAATTCAGTAAGTGGTCTTGCGTATTTGTAGAGATGAGTTCAGAAGAAAAATGTTAGGGAAAAATAACTTTAGAATGCTGACATTCCGTCAAAGCGTTTACAGCAGTCATTTGCTATATTAGCTTAATTTGAAAGATTTACTAATTGTGGCTAAGAACTTTTTTCTTCATATCCTTCATGATTACGTGCAGCTTTTGCGGACTCAAATATCAAGTGGGTTAGAAACCATTTTTTAAGTCCCTAAAACTTGAAATTCCCCTTGTGTATAAGAAAAAAGCTTGTATTTTCATTCCTTATAAATATGCACAGTGTCGGTACAAAATGTGGACTTATAGTTTGACTTTGAGGAAGACACAGTCTCTGCCTCCTGGAGCTTGCATTCTAAATTCACAATACTCAGGATGTTGTGACAATCTGATTTTAGCATGGCAGATCCTTTTAAAACAGGCTTCTCTTACAGTGGATTTACATTAATCTGAATGGACTAAGTGTGTGTTTTTTAAGAAAGAATGTGAATGAAGACAGGGTGATATGGACAAAACCCAGATTTGTTCATAACTGCTTGATAGTGTATTCATTTATCTTTTTATTAAAAATCAATTTTTCCCTGCCATCATGCTAACATAGATGTGTTGGTGGAATATTTTGTGGGATTTTATAGCAAGATATAAGCTTTCTTTGATAGAAAATTACTTTTGGGAGTAAATGACTTTTTGAAAAGCACATTGTACCACATGGCATTGTTGTGGTTTCTCTTCCACATGTTGCTTTATTTGCTTAAGTTGTGGTCTTGAAGAAAAGTTACTGTAGTTTAGCTTTTTACTCCAAGATTTGGTTTGTTTATTATTTTGTTATAGTTTTGAAGTTAGCCAGTGAACTTTATTAAACCAAATGTAACTAGTGGAGAATAAACATTTTGTAAATAAACGTTTTGCGTCAGGATTTACATAAAGATGAAAAAGTGGGCTCTGTTTCCTTTATTAGTTGATAGAAGTGTATTTCTCTTTTGTGTTTTCCTGTGTCTTATCTTTACTCATAGATTGTATATGCATTCTAATCCCTTCCCCTCTTGCAGGATGTGGGCCCCTTGATGAGAACACAATGGAGAAGACAGTAGAAGTCCTGGAACGGCAATGTCATGAGAATATGAACCATGCTATTGAGACTGAGGAAGGGCTGGGCATAGAATACGATGAAAATGTGATCTGTGACGTGTGCCGGTCCCCTGACAGTGAAGATGGGAATGATATGGTGTTTTGTGACAAGTGTAATGTTTGTGTCCATCAGGTTTGTGTCTGAAGAGATGTTGAAATTGTTTTTGTTGGTGGGTGTGTGATTTGAACTAGCTTTAAATAGCAATTTGGAGGGCTTTTAGGATCTTCTAGGCATGGAGACTGCTACTGCTTGAAGGTGGACTTTTGTATTCCTACAGATAGTTGGTTATGCTGTCTAGCATCGTGAATATCGAAGTGATGTGGTCTGAGGACAGGGGGAATGCAGGTCTAATCCCAGCTCTGGCAAGCACTTCTCTGTGGCCCAGCACAAATTCTTTCCCCATCTTTAAAATGGGGATGATACTTGCCAATGTCACAAGTATATTGTAAGGATGAATTCGTATTTTAAGGTGCTTTGAAGGTAGAAAGATGCTAAGAACTATAGAGCCTTCGTTAAGGAAGTGACTGAGGTTTTCCATCCTTGTTTGGCCAGTTAATTGGAGCCAGAACCTGACTGCCTAAAGCTGGGCATCTAAGCCAAATTTAGGTACCTAAGTAAGTGGACTGATTTTTTTTCAGAAGTGTTAGCAAGCTTGTTCCAGGTGCCTGTCAGCCAGGGATATTTCTTATTATGACATTGCAAACGTTAACTTGATCTTGAAACTGGATGAGTTCAGTGGGGCACCGCATAAATACAGGGATTCCTACTCGTAGAACAGACTGCAGGGTTCTGATTTCTACGGAGTCCTTCTTTGGAAAAGATGATGCTGTAAATGTTTTTGAAATTAGACTAAGACTTTTCTTATTTTGTGACCATTATAACTGAACACTCAGTGAACATAACTTACATAGGCCTCTTAAAATCATGCTTTGTTGTGCTGGACATTAGTGTTAGCAGGATTAGCGTAGTAACAGTTATCAAATTTTTCCCCAGTGGTGGTGGGATTTTTTTTTGGGGGGGGGTACCTCTAATTTAGCAAAGCTCTGAGTGAATGCATTGACTTTTAGTCACCCACATTCACAGACTCAAATGGTGTAATATAGTATCTTTTGTAGTTTACCCCTCTAGATAGCACAAAGAAAAATGTAACAGAGTTTCTCTAGTTTATTTCACTAACAAAAAAACCTGAAGCCACTTTTCAAAATGTCAGTTTTTCTTACCCCAGGTCTACACTACACACTTACATTGGTATAACTGCATCGCTCAGGGATATGAAAAATCCACACCCCTGAGTGATGCAGTTATATCAACCTAACTCCCAGTGTAGACCGTGCTATATCTACAGCGAATATAGCTACCGCCTCTCGGGGAGGTGGCTTAACAATGCTCTTCACTAAAGCACTGCAGCTGTGCCAATGCAGCTTTTTAAGTATAGACCTGCACTTAGTTTAGGCTTCCTAGAGTAGGAAATGAAGCCATTAACTAGAAAATTCTGAATCAAAGGAATTTGAAATTGGACTTAAGCTACTAAAACTGTTGTAAACTGAGTAGTAGTAGCAGTAAAAATCTAAGTGTGAATTTAACATAAGAATGGCTATCCTGGGTCAGACCAAAGGTCCATCTAGCCCAGTATTCTGTCTTCCGACAGTGGCCAATGCAAGGAGCCCTAGAGGGAATGAACAGGTAATTATCAAGTGATCCATCCCCTGTTTCCCATTCCCAGCTTCTGGCAAATAGAGGCTAGGGACACCATCCCTGCCCATCCTGGCTAATAGCCATTGATGGACCTCCAGGAATTTACCTAGTTCTTTTTTGAATCCTGTTACAGACTTGGCCTTCACAACATCCTCTGGCAAAGAGTTCCACAGGTTGACTGTGCGTTGTGTGAAGCAATGCTTCCTTTTGTTTGTTTTAAACCTGCCTATTAATTCCATTGGGTGACCCCTACTTCTTGTGTTATAAGGAGTAAATAACACTTATTTACTTTTTCCACACCAGTCATGATTTTATAGACCTCTCTTATGTCCCCTCCCTTAGTTACCTTTTTTTTCCAAGCTGAACAGTCCTGGTCTTCTTAATCTCTCCTCATATGAAAGCTGTTCCATACCCCTAATTTTTGTTGCCTCATTCTGTACCTTTTCCAATTTAAAATATCACATAAAATGAAAAGCTGACTTGCTAAATCATTTCTTAGGCAAGAGCTCCCTCTATTGTTTTTTTTTTAAAGTACTGTTACATCTTTCGACCTTGCCACTCAGATTTAAAAAAAAAAGTTTACAGTGTTGCGAGATTAATTTGACTTTGGTGTTTATTATAAATATTCTGACAGATTCAAAAGAATTTTGTCTTCCTCATTTTGCTGCTCTTTGTATTCTTATGCTTAATTTTCATACTGAGATCTTGAAATCAAAAAGCCAGCATAAGAATATGCATTTTTTCAGAATAAGGATAGACTTTCTCATAAGGGAATATTTTAAAAATCTGGATTTTTATCTAAGGGGAAAATGTCTACTACAACTTTAATAGTCCATATTGGAAAATTCACTTTCCGTAGCCACTGTACCTCAGCATCCTGGCAGGTATTATGTTGTTACTGTATGTTCTATCTAATGCCTAAGTGTATGTGTGATATTCCTGAGATGAGCTGAGTTGCTGTGTGAACTTTGAATTTTCAGATGTTTCTGTGATTATAATTTCAGATGTCAACATGTGTATTGCTTTAGTCTAGAGACACTAACTCCGTGAAGTCTATTGAGTGCCTTGAGGCACTAGAATCCTAAGGGTTGGTTGGCATTTGGGAGACTTAGATTTTTTTGTTTTTAATTTATCAGTAGTGTTGCGGGCCCTAGTGAAGACAGGATTCTGGTTCTTTAAGCTCTGTGTCCTCTAGTGCTGCTCAGAGCATCTCAAATAAATTGAGTTTTAAAACCGTGGCTGCAGCTTGGCCCATCTAAAAGTAGGGCTTTCGACATTGCTAACCCTGAAGCAGGAATGGCAGAAAACTTCTGACAAACATCTATTAATAAACAGGGCCTTAGTTAGAGTAGCCACGTGGAATCAGACATTTGTGGAAACTAGTAGTTTGAGACTTTCAGCACATAGCCTGATACTCATTTTTAATATCTATCTCTTTCCATTTCTCAAACTTTGCAAAGCATGCATTCCTCAGAGCTGGAAATGGTGGACACAGAGAAGATTGTAGGATGTTTCCACAATGTTTGCTGCACTCTGCAATACTTTAAAAATTCTAAGCTTCCATTTAGGAAAAAAAGCTATTTCAATTGGCAGGATACAACCAACATAGTTATGCGCTGTTGTAGTAATCCAACCTGATAGAAAACAGTCTCCAGCCAAACAGCTGTAGCAAAGGTGCAAAGATGGGGGGGAGCCCTCAGTGACCTTCAAAACATATACCTGGAGCCACTGTAAATGGTATTATTAATCACAGGAAATTGCTATTTTTTTCATGTAATTTTTTTAATCAATTTTGATTAAATATCCAGAACTACCATTGTAGAAAGACAAATGAAAAAGTAAGCATCCTTCAGCACCATGTTTTACATGTTATGTATATTTTAACATAAATTTTACAAAGAAAGGGAGAAATAATTTGTTCTAGGAACCATAACTTGTGCATTCCCTGACTTTGTTTTAACTGTAATCGTAGCTTTTTATGGAGAGATTATCAAAGATACAAAGGACAGTTAGTGCCCACCTTTTAGTGACTTTCAATGGTAGTTGGGTACCCAACTGCTCTCTGCGTCTGAAAGCCACCCACCCCATTACAATTAACATTTAATTTGTGACTATTCTGATCTGTGTGTGTTTGATAAGGAGGTACTAATTACATCCAAGAGAAAGTGTTGAGTTTGGGTAAGATTTGTAGAGTGTAATTTTTTAAAAATATAATAGTCATTGATGTAAGCCTCTGATTGTTTCACCTATACACTGAAGTAGAGAGAATTTTCCTTTGTCCCAAGGCATGTTATGGAATCTTAAAGGTTCCCGAAGGCAGTTGGTTGTGTCGCACTTGTGTTCTCGGAATACATCCTCAGTGTCTCCTGTGTCCAAAGAGAGGAGGTGCCATGAAAGCTACTAGGACAGGGACCAAGTGGGCACATGTGAGCTGTGCCCTCTGGATTCCAGAGGTAAAACTAATTTATGTACCTTTTTAACACATTCTTTTTCTCATCATTATCCTTACCGCTTACAGTGCCCCATCTTAATGTTGAGTTAAGGAGATAATAACTTAATACTAGATGTTATGCTGATGAGGTTTGCATGATTTATAAAAATTGGACCGTCCAAGTCATGTACAACTAAGAATAGCATTCTTTTCCTTTCTTTTATTGTAGTAAGCACTTTTTAGCCATGTTACAAGCATCTGACTGACTTACATGGAAGCATTACTGTTGCAAGCCATTAGTTCATGAGGTGCCACTACAATTTATGGACAATTACTTATTTAGTTTTCCTTCCCTTTTACTTACACACTTGACTTATTTCCTGATAAAATAGCACGTGCATCCTCAGTGTAATGTATAGCTACAGAGCAACAGTTTTCGTTGAGTGATTTGAATTTCTCTGTTTAATATCTTTAACAGTTGCTGTGTACTTTACCTGGTTTCACAAAGTTGCATAGTGACATAGTGATTGTTCTGAAATGAGAACATCATTGAAACTAATGCAGTATGTGCAAAGTGTGTTTTCAGATCACTGGACAGTAATTTTTAATTTCCTGTTAATGTAATTTTCTGAGAATTTCTGTATTATCTTGGTTTAAAAGAATTTAATCACTGCTAAAGTAGCCTTACAAATTCAGCCAGTGTAAAACAATGTTTTATCTTTCAAAGTAGCATCTTTCAAAGTATCCTAAATCTCTTAATGAAAGAGGAAAATTAGAGCATATATAAAATGGGCTATAGTCAGAAATATATGTAAGGAGATGGATAATAAATCAGGAATTTCAGTAATGTGAAGGAATATAGATTTACATAATTGTAATGAGATGGGAATGACCCAAAAATTGTGGTGATGGAAAGATGGATCAAGATTAATATTGAACCATAGGCTAAGCTCTGTGTGCATTCCTACCTGCTGGACTCTGCAGGGTCCCAAGCTCTAAACTTCAAGTCCCTGCTTTCAACTATGAGAAGTAATCAACTGCTTCTCACGTTTCTTTGCCGGTTTACCAGATGCTGTAACAATGTAGTTTGATTTTACTGGAGGTATTTATTTTCTTACTAATGTACTGAAAGGTAGAATTTTTTTTTTTAATTGTCCTGATAAATGCTTCCTGCACTATTGTTGTTTGCAGGTTAGCATTGCTTGCCCAGAAAGGATGGAACCAATCACAAAAGTGTCTCACATTCCGCCAAGTCGATGGGCTTTAGTCTGTAGCTTATGCAAACTTAAAACTGGTGCTTGCATTCAGGTATGTACCAGTTCTGCAATGACTTCTGTCTATCTGAGCATGAAAAATAGAATTTGGATTTAAACAGCATTTTTCACATTCCTAATGCTCCATAATGGTAGTGACTGTTGGCAAACAGGGCAGCTGCCATGCTCTTAGCAACAGCTCATTAAACAGTCGTGGACATAGGAAACGTTTGAGCTAGAGCGGAGATTTTCAAAGTGTGTGCGCGGGGGAGTGATGAGATGATCAGGGGGTGGGAGCATGTGGACCTGACGGGGCTGAGATCAGCAGGGGGCTCTGTCTGGCAGAAGAAGGGGACAGAGCTCTGTGCGGGCTTT